GGGTGGAGGCAAGGGGGATGTCAGTGCTGCTGGCAGTAGTGAGGATAATGGTGCCGGTGAGAAAGTCAGTGATGGAGAGTATGGAGAAGGGCTTCAGCACCGATGAGTCTTTGCCACTGCCTTCCTCGGCACCACGGAGTCTGGTGCCAAAGTTGGTGCCAGTAGTTGTGGCTCACACATATCGGTGCCGACTGCGTATGCGGCACTGGTGAGGATGTCCGTGCCAGCAGCTTCAGTGCCAGGACTGCTGGCACTGGTGCCAATGGCTTTGGTGAGGTCAGTGTCAATGTCATTGACTTCTTTGAAATGGAAGCCGACGCTGAGACTGAATGGGAAGCGGGCGTCCCAGATGTGTCCGGCTTACTGCCCAGGCTAATTCTACCCTGGGATACAGTGGGGAGAGACCTCGCCGGGGAGGGCTTCTTTTTGTGTGCTGGAGCCGGGGTTGGAGAAGAGGCTTGTCGTTTTTTAGCCTGTTGGGATGCAGGAGAAGCCAAAGGGCTTTATCAAATAAAATCATAAGAAGCCTCATCTCTCTGTGGCGGCAAGGGGCACTTTTGTGGCACATGAGCTCCCCCCAAGCAGCGTATACAGGCAGAATGTCCATCTGAGGCCAACATGGCCTCCCAACATACCTCACACTTTGTAAAACTTGGAGAGCCGGGCTTTTTTTTTTTTTTTTAATATGGAATATGAACTATATACAAAGGGATAAACTTGAGAGTATGTACAATGGTACGAGGGGAAAAACTAGTAACTGTAGGATAGTAATGTATAACTACAATATATATATATTTTTAAGAACAAGTTGAAAAACTAATTAAGAGGAAATATAAGGGAAGAATAAGAGGAAAGGGTAAGTAACTGGGACTCTCACAACGTAACTCGAGGAGAAGCGGTTCACTCCATCTGCAGCCTGAGGTGGTTGATAGGAACTGTGAGGAGCTGGATAGCTCGCGAATGCTGCACGACGCCTCTGTGCATGCGCGATCCCGACGGCTACTGCTGCAAAAAATCTCCGATCTGCGGGGCCGGGGCAAGCCCAGCACCTACAGTGGAGCACCCACAGGGACATCATTTGAAGAAGAACCAGTCATCCTTTTCCAAACCTGGTAATATTGTAGTAAGCATTACCATCTTGAATTTTTGTTTCATTATGACTTTATTCAGTGCTCAAAGGTCCAGGATGGGCCTCCAACCACCTGATCTTTTTTCTGTCAAGAAGCAATGGGAGTAAAATCCCTTGCCTCTAAACTGTGTGGGGACTGGTTGAATTGCTCCGGTGTGTAAGAGGTTCTTTACTTCTTGATGAAGAAGCATCTCATGAGAGTGGTCCCTGAAGAGGGACAGGGAAGGAAGGTGGAGGGGGGGGTATGGACACAAAGGGAATAAGGTAGCCTCTTTCACTTATCTGCAGGACCCATCTATCAGAGGTTATACGTTGCCAGTTGTTGAAGAAAGGCAACAAACAGTGATGGAAGAGATTTGCTTGCATCGATGGCATTGGAATAGGTGAGAGGCTCTCCACACCCTTGACCTGATGATCAGATTTGCTTGTTGGACTGCTGTGACTGTTGAGAATTGTCAGAGGAAGGGTGACGTCATTAGTTTCTGCCTCTGTTCTGTTGCTGGTGGTCTCATCTTTTGTAGTGTTGTGTATATGGAGGGTATCGAGGTCTCAGATAGGTCTGATACCTATGTTGCCTTTTTCTAGGTGCTTGGCTGTGGATCTCCAGAGATCGCAGCATTACTCTGGAGTCCTTCATGGAGTGGAGAATTTCATTAGTGATAGCTGCAAACAGCTTCTGGCTGTCGAAGGGCACATCATCTACTGTAGATTGAATCCCCCTGGGAATGGAGTGGTGCTAAACGACTATGCCCTTCTCATTACCACCAATGTTGCGGTAGAACATGCAGCCGTGTCCACAACGTCTAAGGAGGTCTGTAATGCTGTTCTTGAAATTGTGTGACCTTCAGATATCAGTGCTATGTATTGTTGCCTCTTAGTCTCAGGAATGTTTCAAACAAAGTCATTCAGTTTGGTGTAATTTCTGTAATCATATTTGCTCAATAAAGGTGCATAATTCGAAATGTGAAATTGTAAAGTAGAAGATGTATATATTTTGCAACCGAATGCGTTGAGCCTTTTGCTTTCACAGTTTGATGGAGTAGACCGATATTGTTGCTGCTTGAATTTTTGTTGTACAGCCTCCACTGTGAGAGGTGGGTGCTGGGTGAGAAAAAAGGAATTCTGAACCCTTGGGTGGGACATAATATTTCTTATCAGTTCTTTTAGCCATAAAAGAGACTGATGCCAGAGTTTGGCACAGCATCCTTGCCAGTTACATTATTGCTGGATTAATTGGCAATGCTATCTTTGATGGTGTTACTGAATGTAGTATGTCTGTTAGGTTGTGATGATTTTCCAGAACCTCCTGGAGAGGAATGTTTAATTCTGCAGCTACACATTTAAAAAGGTCTTGGAAATGTGCAGCGTCATCTAAAGTCATTGAAGCTGGGGCCAGAGACCCTCCCTCCACTGGAGTGGAGTCCTTTGGGTCAGGAAGAGTCACAGCCTCCTGTGAGAATGGTTCTCCATCCCGTATTTGTTGGGGGGGATGAGAGGAGGAGATTGCACTCTGTGTCACTTCCAGCCCTGCTGGTGTTTCTGATAATATTGCCATTTGTCCCAATATTGCCAATATGGGTAAGGCTGGCATATTTCCAAATCTGGAAAAGTAAATACTCTGTGTAAGGAGAATCCTCTGGGGAAAAACTCCTAGAAAAATGAACGTTAGATTCGGATGAAAATGTTTGCTGAGTGTATGATCTCTGCGGGTATGTCTACACTAGCCCCCTAGTTCGATCTAAGAAGGCTAATGAGGACGACCGAAATTGCAAATGAAGCATGGGATTTAAATATCCCGCACTTCATTAGCATGTTCCCGGCCGGTCGCCATTTTAGAAATTGACTAGCCTGAAGTAACTGCCCACGTCTACACACGACAGTGAAACAGGATTCCGAATTAAAGCCCTAAATTGAATTAGCTGTTAAACCTCATTCACATTTCTAAAATGGCGATCGGCCGGGAACATGCTAATGAAGCGCGGGATATTTAAATCCCACACTTCATTTGCAATTTCAGTTGTCCTCATTAGCCTCCCTAGATCGAACTAGACATACCCTATGATGTTAACATAGGGGGAGAGCACTCAGCTTATAAAAATGGTGAGTTAAAAGTGGATTAGACTAATAAGTTTGTGTTGAGTGTAGTGCCAAATCGGTGTTGCTGGTGCTGTAGTGGGGGGCATGGAGACTGAGGTGCTGAATCATGCCTTGCTGCCAAGACCAGCTGTGGTACATTGGGTGCCTCTGTGGTGGAAGCTGAGTCTGTCAACATAGTAGACACCGCGCTCTCATGCTGCATCAACAAGATTGTATCATTGCCGGATGGTGCTGCCATCGATGAGGCAGGCAACTTAAAGCCTGTCGCTTCAGAATGTGATTTAGCGCATGCATGCTGTTTGTCTCTGCTGGGGGCTCCAGAGACACTAGCGGTATCATAGGTACTGAGGTGTGGTACCACCGCTGCTCTCAGCACCAGACTAGCGGGGGATGGCCATTGCGGTACCGTAGCCCCTTAAGTTGCTGAGGAGGCTCGCTTTTTGGATCCCCGCTGCTTGAGATCCTCGGGCTGTTGGCCCGGATCTGAGGCTGGACTAAGTGAGTTTTCTAATAAAAATAATTTGAGTCGGAGGTCTGTCTTTCCACGCCCGCGATTTTAGCTTTGCGCAGTGAGGGCATTTCTGAGAGATATACTGCTCTCCAAGACAGCGGATGCATTGTGAGTGACCATCTGAAAGCAGAATATGCTCTTTACATGAGGTGCAGCGTTTAAAGCCAGATGATTGAGACATGCCCGTGTAAGCTGTCAGAGACTGCACGGAGGGATTAATTGGGAGAAAAGAAAAAAGCCCCTTATGCTAATTAAGATTTCTTTCTTTCCTTTCTTCTCTTTTTTTAAAACTAATGAAGTAATTAACTAACTAGCTATTTAAAACTCACTAACTATTATAATGAATATAACTGGTTTTAAAAAGTATAATCATGTAGACGCAAAGAAGCTAGAGAGCACTGCTGAGTCTGTCTGTAGCTGGAGGTGGTAGAGAAGGAATTGAGTGGTGGGGGGAGAGAGAGGAGCTTGCACATGTGTGATGCCTGAAGCCTAATACCGTGCAGTTGCTGGGTGTGCGCCTACGCAGCCACAGGGACACTGCTATGAAATCTCCACTCTGAGGCGGCACAGTGACCTAATGTGAAGCACCAGCAAAGACATTTCTCAAAGAAGAACAACTGTTCACATAAATTTAAAACAGAAAAAAGAGGAAGTCTGTTTTGGGGAGTCAAACCTAAGATTGCTGTTCAGTCTCTTCTCCCTTTTACCTAACTGCTACATCGCTGCTACATCGCTGCAGAATCCCAATTTATGGCTTATGTTCGACCTAACCCCCAACAAATCTTTAACTCACTACAATGCTCTGATTACATCTAGCAAAAAGAGAGTCTAGAGTCTAGACTATTCTCCACAAGGCATCCCCTTGTGGCCTTTAACTCCTGCCTACTATATTTTGCCATTTGAACTCCAATACCAGAACTCCCTTCTGGATCAAATTCCCAGCTACAGCAATCACCTGATTTGCCACAAGTAACTGCAAACACATCTACCTTGTCCCTCAAATGATCACTTTCTTTTCCCCAATATTCATTCTCAAAAATCCTAGACCAACTTATACCCTGCACTTACTAATTCAAGAAACTCATGGTTGGAAACAGAAGTCATCCTACATTTATCTTGTGCACCCAAATTACTTTTTAAATATGCAACTCTCGTTAAACTTCAAATACACTTACTTCACCAAAAGTACTGTAATTCACATTCTTTGTTCTTTTGGGGCCATCTAAATCAAACTGGACTATATGCAAATAATCCAACATTTACCTGTGCAGTTTCTGTCATTTTCTTTTCAAAGTCAGATTTAGCTGCAGCATACTTCTCTACATAGAGTTTATAGGTATCTGTAGCTTTCTTTGCTTTAACTGCTGCCTGTAAAGAACAGATTACACAAAAATGATTAGAATAATTTACAACTAATTTTTTCCAATAAATATATTCAAATTTAAAGCAATTTATAGTTAGTATTATTATTGAAAAAATTGGAATTATTCATACCAAAATGTCCAACAGGGCATGTGGCAGAAGACAGTAAAATCAATTTCATTAAAATTCTACTGAATGGTAATTTAAGCACTTACCATAAACAGTAGTATTTTTAGTCAAATCTCATACTATACATGAAACACATAATTAGAAGTGACACATTTCCATGTGCAACTTAACTTAGAGGAATGTCCTAAAAAGTTAAAAATTTACTACAAGCCAGATGACAACAAGAAGGTAACACTAAAATTATGAGTAGCAGAGCTAGGAGGGAGAAGCAGCAGCAGAATGCATACTTCTGGATACCTACTATTGTAGAGATTGAACAAGAAAGAGGAAAGATTATAGTATAGGCCTTCTTAGACTCCCCACTGGCACTAACTAATCCTTACATTGTTCACTGAAGTATTTTAAGCATTTTTACATCGCTAAGGAGTAACTGATTAGCTCATTTTAAAAATTTATATATTTGATTTTGTCTGTCCATTTGTTCAAGAACTTCTCCTAAACAGTAAGAATTAGGGCCACCAAATGTGGTATACAGCTTCTTCTTATCATAACCTAAAGTAAGATAAGGGCTTGGTTGTACCAGTAAAATAGGATGTGCCCAGAATAGGATTGCTTCTCACAAAGCCATACAAAAAAGACAGAATGAGCAGGAAGGTGAAAGCAGCTGGACAGAGGCATGCCTTCCCCCCCCGCAAGTCCAGGACTGCCCTAGCCCCGAGCCTCCCACAGCCAGAGACCCTTAAGGGAATGTGTGGAGGGCCTGAAGCTCTCCCCCTGCTCTGGTTTGTATGGGGATACAACTGGCTGTTCCTCTTCATCAGGGAGCAAGGGGGAAGTACCCAGTTTGCTGCACACTGTCTGGGAAGCGCAGTGGGTAGACAAACCTGGACCTGGCCAGCCAGCGGACACGCACCCCTCCCGTGGCTATGCCCAAAGGAGCTGAAGTGGCCATGCAGAGGCACTTATCACCTGGCTCCAAGCTGCTGTGGTGAAAGAGAGCTGGAGTAGCCCTCTCTCCCTGGGGCAGCCTGCATACTTAATCTATCTATCTTTAATTTCTGAAACTCCAGGACAAACCTGGATGGACTTGCAACCATAGCCTTGCCAGTTAGTACCTTGACTTATGTTTCATTATATCCGTGCCTTTGCATCTCCATGAACAACAGGTAAACACAAAGGAAGGGGAAATTCCTGATCTCCACTTCCCCCATATCCTTCTGTACTTGCAGTATTAAAAACCTCAACAGTCCATAAACATTTATTTAAAAGAAAAAAAGTTGTTTAAGGGTGAAATCTCACAAATGCAAATCCTTAAAAAGCAAGGAAATCTCAAGTCATGAGACTTTTAAACTAAGACTTATTTTATTAAATTTAAAAAACTGATTAAACTTGAAAATGAAGATAACATGTTAACAGTCTAAATGATGCATCTATGGTCTATACTAAAAAAATCAAAGTTCTTTACCTCATAACTATGTATGAGCTTAAACAAAGGAAGAACAATTTGTACTTTGAAGAGGGAAAACTTGACTACTCTGTGAAACTCTGAGGAAAATTATTGAACAAGTGAATGTCAAATAGTCAAACATCTTTATAGTTCTACTAGAAGAATGTTTGCATGTGTACCGTGACAGACTCAGACCAGCTGGCTACTGCACTTTCATGAAGGTCATGTATGAAGGGCTCTAGATAAATAGCTTTCTCTTCTCTGAATAGAATCCCAGTGATTACTAGCATGTAATCAAGGCAGGCACACACCTGACACCAGTTAAGAGCTTGCCTGAAGCAACATGCTAATCAGACACCTGCTACCAACTAAGGCTGAGGGACTGCTTTAAAAGGTTTCTCCTAAGTAAGGAAGGGGGAAGGAAAAGGGGGAAGGACTGGGAAGAGGAAGTGCATTGCTGAAGAACTGTCTACATGTGGGAGGAGTCGTTTGGGAAAGCAGCCCAGGGAAAAAGCTGCCAGACTGGGAGTAAAAGTAACCCTGTCTGTTGCCTCTGCCTTAAAGTCTCTGGGCTGGAACCTGGAGTAGTGGGCTGGCCCAGGTTCCCCCAAAAACTCCCCACAGCATTACAGAGTCTGCCCCCAAAAGGGGAAACCAAGATTATGGAGGGATTTTTACCCCAAACTGTGGACTATCTTATGATGAGTATGGTTCAATAGACTGTGATCCTTTCCTCTAGAAAAAAAGAAGAGGCTGTATGGAGGGTCATCATGAGTCTCTGAGGCAAACACTGTCAGAAACACAGGACCACAGGTGGAGTTTTGCCACAGTACATACACACTCAGCAATTGTTGGGACTCCATTTGATAGTTACCATAACTGAAAACTTGGCTGTTAGTCAAAAAATATTGTAAAGTCATTACAAATGGAGAAGTTCAAGATTTTGTGCTAACATGACAGGGAGCAAGATTAAACCATAACATAAGCTAGTACTAAGTTTTTAGTGTCAATTAGCTAGTTGCTTAAGGTTACCCAATTTGATAATAAGATTTTTCAAATATTTTCTTTTCAGATGCCCCAGTACAATATCTGTTCAATGTATGATTGTATGATAAACTTTCAGTGGACACCCACAAATGCGCAACTGTGCACCTACAGGGATACTCCTCAAAGAAGATGAGAGGTTTACTAAACCTTACATGTTTGGGTACCTCTGTGTGCTTAGTTGCAGATTTTTGGTAGTAGTGCCCTCCAATAGGTTGTACAAGCGAAGCAAACAGCACGTGTGGTGCTGTTACTCTGCATGCACAGCCAACCATCCCTTCTCTGCCCCCCCCAAAAAACAACTATGTCTGAAGCAGAGGAGAGGAAGTGGTGGTGGAGCACCCACAGGGACAACCATCTCAAAGAACCTCTGTTACTGCATAAGGTGAGTAAACTCCTCTTCAAGGGGCATCCCTATGGGTGCTCTACCTTAGGTAACTATACAGCAGTACCTGTGATCGGAGGCAAGTGCTTCGGCCAGTCAATATCCTGGACAGCAGCCAGAATGGTGTGCCCAAATCTAGTACTCTGGGAAAGGTAAGTATCAAGGGCATGTCTGACGAATGTATGGGAAGAAGACTACGGAGCAGATCTACAAAGATCTATAAGAAGTATGTTATTGAGAGAGGCTGTAGGATCTGCCATGGCCCTCGTAAAGCAGGCACATAGTTGCAATGGAGAGTCTCAAGTGGAAGATGGAGTAGGCTAACTGAATACAGTCTACTACCCATCTGGACAGCCTCCAGGTGGAAACTGGCATGTGCAGGGATCTCTCTGTGGTGGATACGAACAATCTAGGTGTTTTGCAGATTCCTCTCGTCCTGTCCAAGCAAAAAGCAACTGCTCTTCAGTTTCTTGCTGTCTGGAAAGGTTAACCAGTACCTTTCTTTGTTCCAAATATCTAGGAGTCATGATAGACTAATACCTACTTAACAGCACAAACATTTTACTACCACTTCAAGCCATTTTAGCATAAATGGTATCTTTGGCAAAGCCATTGTTTCCCAATCTTGAATAGAATTAAAAATCTATCTCCATTCATCCTCATTTCATTCTCACAGAAATGGGAAAATCTCTTAGGAGATCATTGGTATCTTAGGCAATGAAACTAAAAGAAAAATGAGTCAGTGTTAACTTTAGCAGTATTTTTTTAACTGTATTATCAAAGAGCTAGAATAACAGTAACTAACTATTTATATCAGACTGAAGCAAAAAGCTTATTCACGTAAGCAAAGCAGAAATATAACCTCAAAACATGTATTTTAAGATAAGGGAATATGGTATTTTCATATTTGACTGCACTTGATTTAACAAAACGATTAGCAGATGCTAAAAAGATTATACCCAATTTCAGGAAATGCAAGCAAAAAAACCTGCATGTGTTTAAACTACAAATGCAGTTTTCACAATATTTAACAGTAAGACAGTCAATTAAGAGAAAAGGCATTGAAAAAATAGTGGATACAAACAGGAACTCAATGTTTCAAATGAAACAAGAAAGATTAAACTTATATACTGCATTTTTTGATGTTGAATATTTCTCTTTAGGCAATGGTCACCAGCTAGTAGATCAGGATCTACCAGTAGATCTTAAAGCCTCTGACAGGTGATCCTGACTGGTTTGACCAGGAAGCTATCAAGTGCTGGCATTTCAGTTGCCCCTCCACACACTGTCATGCTGCTCCTGCCCTCTGCCTAGAAGCTGCCCCCTGTAAGCCTCCTGCTTGCTGTTCAGAGTGCAGGAGGGAGAAAAGGGGGGGAGGGCGCTGATGTCAGGGTGTCCCACACAGAGAGAAAGGGATGGAGGGAGCATGGCAATGCAAATCTCTGTGTGTGTCACACACTATGTGTGTCTGTCATTTTTACAAACACATTCTGTCCTTCACTCACTCATCTCTTGATACAACACATACGTGGGTGGTTGTTACTACTTTTACTGCTTGGAAAGTGTGGTATTTTGGGTTTTTGACTGGTCTGTGCATTTCATCATTTTCATTTCTCTCTCACGCTTAAATTTAATTCTTTGAGTAGCAAGTTCTAAAATGCCTAAGCTGTCGTGGCTGGGGGAATTATCCCTGTGGTAACTGCTACTCCTCGAAGTGGCTGGCATGTCCCTGCAACCCCTGAGAAAGGCAGAGCAGGGGTTCTCCACATGCTGTTCTTGCTTGCAGCGACCACTCCTGCAGTTCCCATTGATCAGTAGAAGCTGTGGGCTCAGTGCCTGTAGATGAGAGGCATGGTGCCATGGAGCCATTCCTGTACATGCCAGCTGATTTCAGGAGCGGTGCAGGGCCAGGGCAGGAATAAGCCTGTCTTAAGCCCACTTAAATTCCACCACCCAGAAGCCATCTCAGTCAAATGGTGCTCAGCCGGAGCCTGCATCCTGAACCTCTCTCAGCCCTGAACCTCCTCCAGCATCCAAGCTGCTGCCCCAGACACGAGTCCCCCTGCACCCAAACTCCTTCCTAGAGCTTGCACCCTGAAACTCCTCCTGGACCCCAAGTCCCCACCCTGGCTAAGCCCAAAGCCCCTCTCACATGCCAAACCCCTTGGCCCAAGACCAGAGCCTTCATCCCAACCCCCTACCCAATCCTGGTTAAAGTGAGTGAGGAGAGGAAAGGAAGGAGGATGGAGTGAGCAGGTTGAAGATTCAGAGAAAGAGTGGAGCAGGGGTGGAGCCTCAAAAAAGGGGCATGAAGGAAGTGGGGCAAGAGTATTTGGGTTTGATGTAGATCTTACATTGCACTTAAATTGAAAAAGTGATCTTGTGCTTAAAAAAGTTGGAGACCACTGTCTTAAGGCAATAATAAAGAGCCAATTCACAAAATGCATAATCATAAATTACTAAAGCACTGCATTTATAAAAGACTTTGCAAAACTACCTTGTCAACTTCTCTCTGCGTTGCGCCTTCCTTTTTCAAACGTTCTTGTTCCACACACTTAGCATTATAGTTCTCTTTTGATTTCTGTAGGGCCTGAATGATACTCTGAATGTTTTGCACGGCTTCCAAAGTTCCTGAAACTTCTTCTTTAGTCTGTCAAATATTACATACTTGTCAAAAATAACCAGCTTAATATTTTAATTGTAAAAGTAATTAACGATACACACAATGGTGAGTGAGTAACCTTTTTATGAGCTTTGATTTGTTCATCTCCGTACTTCTGCACTTCTTTTATTAGCTCTTGTAATTTCCGGACAAGCTCCAAGTGACAGCTTGCTACTTTTTCTGTTGATATTTTGAAAACATCCCAAACTGGTGCGAAAGTCCTTAAAATAAAGGTTACAAGGAAGAGAAACATTACTTAATATTGAATAGGATTTCTTTTTAAACCAGCTATAATTTTATAATAGAACCCTGAGGTTCTATTGATGAAATTCTTATCAAGTATACTCTCCTCTAAAAGACTAATGATATAAAATGGCACATTCTTATTTGATGGCAGCAGTGCGGGGGATCAGAGGGGCAGCAGGCAGTTCCCCAGAAGCCAGTGTACACGAAAAGCCAGCTTTTAAGCCAGCTCCCCACATGTACCAGAAGCATGCATATAATTGTGAAGGTTAACCGTTGAGCTCAGGCTCACTGGTTAACTGTGTACACAGTTATGCTTTCACATCCCTAATATCTACCAATGTAAATCTGTACACCTGCAATGAAATTGCTGTAATGAAATCACCTTTTGGTATTTATGAAATTACATAACATCACATTGGTAAACAATCTCATGAATTGCAAACTGATTTATATGAATGAGGTTTCAGAAATGGAACAGCATTAACCATTTTCGGATAAATTTGTTAGCTTGTTAATTGCTTTTGAAGAATCTGTTATTGTAACTCCTTTTTAATACATTGCAAATACATTGACTCTAAATTGTAACAGAAACCCCATTTTCAACTTTGTATTGCCTTAACTCTGTTTAAGGTTAGGTATGTACATGCAATGGGATCAGTCCCTGATGCCAGCCCATGTTGGTGACCAGCTGCCAGCATCACCTTAATGGTGGAAACACAATGTAGGAGGGTGAGTTCTGCAAAAGAACCCACCCAAGAAAGAGAGGATGTCTTCACTAAAGAGTTTTTTTGGAAAAATGGCTGTTTTTCCAAAAAAACTTCCATTATGTCCACACTGCAATTGCGTTCTTGCAAAAAAAAAAAAAAATCGAAAGAACAGAGGGGGGTTTTCCTGTGGTAGGAAGAACACCTCAGCAGTCCAGCACCCTGGCATTTAATTTCAAAAAGGGGAATTACACAAAAATGAGGAGGTTAAGTTAAACAGAAATTAAAAGGCACAGTGACTAGAGCCAAATCCCTGAAAGCTGCATGGAAACTTTTTAAAGACACCATAATAGAGGCCTAAATTAAATGTATACCTCAAATTAAAAAACATAGCAAGAGACCTAAAAAAGAGTCACCGTGGCTTAATCACCATGTAAAAGAAGCAGCGAGGGACAAAAAGGTATCTTTTAAGAAGTGGAAGTCCAATCCTAGTGAGATAAATAGAAAGGAACATAAACACCGTCAAATCAAGTGTAAAAATGTAATAAGAAAAGCAAAAAAAGATTTTGAGGAACAGCTAGCCAAAAACTCAAAAAGAAATAACAAAATGTTTTTTAAGTACATTAGAAGCAGGAAGCCTGCTAAAAAACCTGTGGGTCCCCTAGATGATCGAAGGAACATAAACACCGTCAAATCAAGTGTAAAAATGTAATAAGAAAAGCAAAAAAAGATTTTGAGGAACAGCTAGCCAAAAACTCAAAAAGAAATAACAAAATGTTTTTTAAGTACATTAGAAGCAGGAAGCCTGCTAAAAAACCTGTGGGTCCCCTAGATGATTGAGCTATAAAAGGAGCAATCAAGGACAATAACGCCATTGCGGAGAAACTAAATGATTTCTTTGCTTCAGTCTTCACGGCTGAGGACGTTGGGGAGATTCCCGAATCTGTACCGTTCTTTGTGGGTGATGAATCTGAGGAACTGTCCCAGATTAAAGTGTCATTAGAGGAAGTATTAAAACAAATAGAAAAACTTAATGTTAACAAATCTCCGGGACCGGATGGCATTCATCCAAGGGTTCTAAAAGAACTCAAAGGGGAAACTGCTGAACTATAATCTGTGGTTTGTAACCTATCCTTTAAATCGGCTTTCGTACCTAATGACTGGAAGGTAGCCAACGTGACACCAATATTTAAAAAGGACTCTAGAGGCGATCCTGGCAATTACAGACTGGTAAGTCTAACTTCAGTACCGGGCAAATTACTAGAAACAATAGTAAAGAATAAAATTGTGAAGCATGTAGAAGAACATAATTTGTTGGACAAAAGTCAACATGGTTTCTGTGCCTGTCTTACTAATCGGTTAGAGTTCTTTGAAGGGGTTAACAAACATGCAGACAAGGGGGATCCAGTAGATATAGTATACAGGCAGTCCCCGGGTTACGTACAAGATAGGGACTGTAGGTTTGTTCTTAAGTTGAATTTGTATGTAAGTCGGAACTGGCATCCAGATTGCTCTGCCCTGGGCTTCCTGGAATCAGCCGCTGATCAGTTTCAATAGCGGCTGAAATTGGAAGCCCGGGGCA